GCCTCTGGCTCGGGATGGGGAGAGAGGGGTTGACGGGGAGGAGGCACCAGGAAACTTTTGAGGGTGATGGAAATGTTCTGTATCGTGATTGGGTTTGGGTTATACAGCCATATGCATCTGTCAAAATTCATCAAACTGTAACACTTAAAATCTGGGCACTTCACAGTATGACTTTTATTGCTATATAATTGACAGTGTTTAAAAAACCATAAAATCAGATTATGTCATTACTCTGCTCAATATATTTTATTATCTCCCCATTTGTTCATTCCATGAATATTAAGTACTGACTACATGCCAGACACAGTTCTGGGCACCATGGGTTCAGAGACTAAAATCCCTAACCCCAGGGAGTTTACAGTCTAAGAGGGAAGATAATTAACAAAGTACGTACTTACTTATGCTAAAAGGTAGTATGCTGTGATGAAAAGGCAGAGAAGAGCAATAGGGCAGGTTTGGGGGGGATGGGACACAGGGTATATTGTATGTGTGTAATTTTATTTTTTCTCAGCTGCTGCAGAAAGCATTGTTTTGTAACTTTAAGTAGGGTAGAAAGCAAGGCCTCACTAAACAACTGACAAATGGGGAGAGTAGGTTAGAAATGGAATCATACAGATAGAAGGGGGAAAGCATTCTAAATCCAGGAAGCAGAATCTTCAAAGGATCCATGAGGCAGGAGCATTCCTGGTGTGTTTCAGAAACAGCCAGGAGGGCAGTGTGCTGGAGCATGTGAGAAGGCAGAGGAAAGGAAGAGGACAGATCGGAGTGGGGGGGACTGGAGAAGATGGGAAGATAATGGCCCTGGGATCATTGTCAAGACCTCAAGACCTTGGCCTTTACTCTGAACATGATGGGAGCCACTGCCCAAATGGGTGTGGCTCAGTGGTTGAATGCTGACCTATGAACAAGGAGGTCATGGTTCTATTCACAGTCAAGGCATGTGGTCAGGGCACATGCCCAGGTTTCAGGCTCAATCCCCAGGAGGGGGCATGCAGGAGGCAGCCGATCAATGATTCTCTCTCATCATTGATGTTTCTTTCTCTCCCCCGCCCCCCCCCCCCCGAAATAAAAACTTATTAAAAAAAAAAAAGATGGAAGGCATTGGAGAATTTTGAGCAGAGGACTGATGTAACTGCCTGTTTTAACAGGATTACTTTGGCTGCTGGCTTGAGAATGCCCTGCCAGGGACAAGAGTGGGTGCACAGAAGTCAGTAAAGAACCTGCCAAAATACCCAAGGGAGATAAGAGTGGCCGTGGCAAGAGGCGGTGAGCAAAGGTCAGATCCCAAATACATTTTTGAAGTAGAGTCAACAGGATTTGCTGACGGACTGATGCACGATGTGAGAAACGAGTTGGGATGATGCCTGTGAAGAACTAGAAGGAAGAAGTTGCCACTGAGTAAGAGGGGGAAGCTGTGGAAGAGGTTTCTTTGGGGAGAAGACCTGGAGTTGGGTCTCAGACACGCTTAGCGGGAGGTGCCTGGAGACCTCGAAGAGAAGTTACCGAGGAAGAAGCTAAGTAGGAGTCTGGAGTGTAGTGGAGAGATCTGGGCCAGAGGTATAAATTTGAGTCACCAGTTTAACAGATAGCATCTGAAGCCATGGGACTTGGCTAAAATCACGAAAGGAGGAAATGGAGACAGAGGAAAGAGACCTAGGGATTAAGCCTGCAAGCTGGGAATGAGGAGAAACCCACACAGAAGACTGAGGCCCTAGTAGACCAGCATGATCTAGCCCCCGCCTACCTCTCCAACTACATCTCCATTCTCCCTCTCGAACACATGGGCCTTTCGGTGGATCCTAGGTGTCAAGCTCTCTCCCGTGCCAGTGCATTTGCATTTGCTGTTCCTTCAGTCTTGACGGATTCAGCACCTGAGTCAGACCCCAATTCTGCCAGAGGATGGCTCCTTATCCTTCAAGTCTTAGATTAAGTGTCGCCTTCACAGAGAGGGCCTTTTCCCTCCTTACCCCCTGACACACTCTGTTACAGCATCCACTGGTTCCCTTTACTGAACTTCTTACAAGTGACCACCAGGACACCAGCCTCTTGGTCTTCTTTCTCCTCCAGATGCTCCATCACAGTTCCCTTTACCTGTTCCTTCTCTTCTCCCCACCTCTTTTTTTTTTTTAATATATTTTTATTGATTTCAGAAAGGAAGGGAGAGGGATAGAGAGATAGAAACAAGAAACATCAATGATGAGAGAATCATTGATCAGCTGCCTCCTGCACACCCCCCACTGGGAATTGAGCCCACAACCCAGGCATATGCCCTTGACCGGAATCAAACCCGCGACCCTTCAGTCCACAGGCCAATGCTCTATCCACTGAGCCACGCAGGCTAGGGCTTCTCCCCACCTCATAATGTCGGAGTGCCCCAGGGCTGTCCTGGTCCCCCTCACATCTCTATCAACAACACTCTCTCCTCTGGTGGTCTCACCCAGTCGTACAACTTTATGTGCCAATGATCCCCAAATATCTTTTTTTTTTTAATATATTTTATTGATTTTTTACAGAGAGGAAGGGAGAGGGATAGAGAGTTAGAAACATCAATGAGGGAGAAACACCGATCAGCTGCATGTACTGTAGCCAAGGTACATGCCCTTGACTGGAATCGAACCTGGGACCCTTCAGTCCTCAGGCCGACACTCTATCCACTGAGCCAAACCAGCTAGGGCCCCAAATATCTTTATCTCCAGCTCAGACCTCTCCCTGAACTGGCTCTTATATCCACTTGACATCTCCACTTGGAGATCTACTACGTCAGCGGTTCTCAACCTGTGGGTCGAGACCCCTTTGGCGGTCGAACGACCCTTTCACAGGGGTCGCCTAAGACCATTCTGCATATCAGATATTTACATTACGATTCATAACAGTAGCAACATTACAGTTATGAAGTAGCAACGAAAATAATTTTATGGTTGGGTCACAACATGAGGAACTGTATTTAAAGGGCCAGAAGGTTGAGAACCACTGTACTACATTAAGATGCTCTGTCAATTATCTCTCCCAAAACCTACCTTCAACTTTATCTCACTTGAAATCAACTCCATTATTCAAGCTGCTCAGGCCAAAACTGCCAGGAGCCGGTCCATCCTTGCTGTTTCAAGGGACCTGGCATATATGGCATACTGTTCTTAATATGTTTGCTCACCTTCTTGGCACTATGTGTTTTAACCAAGGTCACCTCTCTGAGAAAGGTTGTTTCCCCAGGTAGGGATTTTCCCCTGAAGTTAGGGAGGGAATAAAACCCCTTAACTAAGTGCCAGGTGGGTAATTAATCACTTTAACTACGAACAATCATGCTTAAGCTACATAATCTTTACTCCCTGGAATGGAGATAAGAAACGCCCTGACCTTTGGAATAGAGATTGATAGGATTGGAATCAACTGGTATAAATACAGATGTAACAAGACAACAGGACCCAGAACCTAGACACAGAACCTAGACACAGAACCTACAGACAGAAGAACTTCGCTGGAGAGAACATGGCAAAAGATCCTGAACAGAAACTGGCCACAGAACCTAGAGACAGAACCTAGAGACAGAACCTGGCTGAAGAACCTAGAGACAGAGCCTGGCTACAGAACCTGGATAGAACATGGCAAGAGAACCTGACTAGAACCTGGTGACTGAACCTGGCTGGAGAACCTAGCGAGGGAACATGGCTACAGAACCTGGCTGGAGAACCTAGAGAACCTGGCTATGATGATCAACTGAACTCTGCCTCCGTGTCCTTCCTTCTTCGCTGACTCCGTCCACACCTTTGGGGACCCCTGGACCTGCTGGGGTTGGACCCCAGCACAAAACCTCTGAGTTATGCTTCATTGTTCTTTCTCTCCTGCCTCACATCCCATCTATCAGCATACCCTGCCTGACTACTTCTTCCCTCTCCACTACCAGCCTGATCCAAGCCACCAAACATCTCCTGCCTGGGTTACTCAGCAGCTCCCTTCTCCTCCATCTCCCTGCTTCTACCCTTGCTCACTCCCCGTTAGCCATTCTCCATACTTTAGCCAGAGTGACTCTTTTAAAGCAGTAAGGCCTACATAATCTTTGTGCCTCCCTGACCTCCCCAAACGTACTTCCCTTACTTCACTTCCTTTCACTTTCTCTCTCCCTCACCCTGGTCTCCATGCTGCTCCTCAAACTTTTCAGGAACATTCCTGCCTTAATGCCTTTGGCAATTGCCGTTCCAAGATTTGGGACACCCTGCTCAGCCAACTCCCTCACTTCTCACCTCCTTCCATTTTTGCCCACATGTTACCTTTTTGATGAGGCTTTCCCTGATCAAACTGCTTAAAACAGTCCGCTGTGTCCCCCTTCCTGGCTCTACTTACTATTTCTCTCCGTGGCACTAATCATCTTTCATATGCTATCATCAGGGTACCGACTCATCCTAACCCACCAGGAACTTTCCTGGTTTCAGCACCCAAAGTCCCACATCCTGGGAACCCTCTCAGTCCTGAGCAACCAGGACACTGGCCAACCTAACTATAATGGACTAGTTTTGCTTTCTGTCTCTCCTCATCATCTATAAAATAACTTTCACAGGAGCAGGGATCTCTGTGACTGCTGTGTTCACAGGGAACAGTGCTGGCACATAATAAATGCTCAACAAACAGAGCTTAGCCACCTGGCCAGCGCCACCTTAATTAGCTGTACCAATTGTGAGCGCTTCCAAGTTAATTCCACTAAAATTTGTAACTGTGGCATTATAAGATAGGGCCAACAAAAAGAAATTGGATACAAAAAGTTTCCATATATATGGCAATGACATATATATATATGTATATAATTTCTAACATCCATAAGCCAAGCCAGGATCTTCTCAACCCACCCTTGTTTTCAAAATAACCCACATAACCCGCACACTACAGATTTCACATAAGTGGCCTGGGAACTTTTGATACCCCTCCTCTAGTCCTAACTCCCACCCAAAGCCGCAGTTTGGAGTCCATGCAGCGAAGACCTCCAGCACAGGAATCGGGCCGGTCCTTACCTCCCGTGTAGAGAAAGGAGCCAGACAGGCCTCCGAAGTAGATGAGAGCCAAGTGCTCCAGTTTCAGGGCGGACAGGTAGTAGAGGCAAGCGGCACAGACACAGCCCAGGGTGTAGAGGAAGACTCCAAACCGGACCACATCCTGGGGCTCCAAGATCCGGTCCACCAGGGTCCGGTCGTCGCTCTTTTTGTGGTCAATGCCCTTGGAAAAGTCATAGTACGTGTTGACCAAGTTGCCAGCCCCGTGCACGGCCAGCACCGCCACGGCACAGCCCACCAACAGCCTGGGGTCCAGGACGCCCTGGGATCTGTAGGCCAGGGCACTGCCCAGGGCCACCGGGGTGAGCGAGGCGCTGAAGCTCCAGGGGCGCAGGGCCAGCACATAGGAGGCGCACTTGTGCCTCCAGGAGCGCGGGACGGGCTTGTCCCACTCGGGGCAGTCGTTGCCCGGCAGGTCCCTGTCCCCGGCCGGGGCGGTCTCTCCCGCCTGGATGCTAATCTTCTCCCCCGGGACCGGCGAGGCCGCCATGGAGGTGCACGTGGCTGAAGTCGTCAACGTTGATAGTGAGCCACCCACAGAACAGCCACGGCGGTGGGACCGGGAGGGGTGGGGCGTCCAGCCCTGACCTTCCTTCGGGTCCGCCCCGGGGCAGGGCTGGGGACGCAGCGGGGCCCCGGGGCAGTAGCGAGCGGGCCTGGCGCCCCACGAGCCCGGTAGCACCGCTCGGCCTTCCGGTCACCTGCGCGAAAGCTGTCTCCGGACCCGGCTCGGCGCTAGAGCCCGAAGCCGAGAGGCGACCACCTCCCCGGGGATACCGGGGCCGCCATCTTGTGCGCCCGCCTCTGGAGGCCGGCGGGAAACAGGGGCCCCGGGCACTGGCGGGCCGGGACCGGAGGGGCCGGGGCGGGGCGGGGCGGGGCGGGCAGGGCGGGGCGGGGCGGGGCGGGGCGGGGCGGGGCGGGGAGGGGCAGGGCAGCCTTCTCTCCCAGGTGTGCGCCCCGCAGCTGCTGGGAGACCCGCTGAATGCAGCCTCGCTTAGCATCACGCGATCCACCACAATGCATGTGGCTTTTCGGCTTCCCAAGAGCTTTCATGCACCGAAATAGGACGCACTCATTGTTTCCATGCAGTGGGCGCACTATTGTACGCAGCAATGAACAAAACCAACAAAAGTCAGGGAGCGTATTGAGGAGGTAAGAAAAGTATCATTATCCCCGATTTTTTCAAATGAGAAACTTGAAGCTCTGAAACGGTAAATGATGTCTAAGAAATGATTAACTCTAATAACAATCACGACAGCAAAAACTCTCACTTTCTATTGTGCAACTTCCAATGGCATAAACTGGCCTGCCTACTCATAGCACACGAATAACTGCCCTTCCCACCCCACTAGGTAGCCGGCTGGGTGTCTTCATTGCCGGCTCTCATTGCCCACCTTCTGGGAGCTTCGGGAGCTCCTTCTGACTGGGGAGAGTTGGTTGTTAAATTTTAAGAAGTTTTGTGAGCCACTCACTAAGCACAGCCATTATTAAAAATTAAACTACACAAAGTTACTAGTACAGTTACATATATATATAAAACCCTAATATGCGAATAGACCAAATGGCAGAACAACCAAACAACTGGTCACTATGACGTGTGCTGACCACCAGGGGGTGTACATGGGACATGGTGGGCGTCGGCTGTGGTGGGATAGTGGAGCTGGTGAGTGGGGGCACCAGATCAAGGCGGGGCCCTGGTTGCTGTCATCGGGTGAGCCTCTGGTGGTTACTGAAAATTCTTTGCTCCCATGTGCCGCAGTCCGACCTGGCGCTCGCACCTGCTGCTGGCAACAGCCCTGCTTGCACCCACTGCCAGCACCTGAGCCGTTGCTCACACCCGCAGCTGGTCCCAATCACTCGGCACCGTCAGCAGGTGCAAGTGGTGGCTGCTGACCCCAATTGCCCCTGAGGGCTTCTTCACCTCCCCCTGTTCCTGGGGGGCAATCGGGGGCAGCAGCCGCCGCTTGCACCCTCTGACGGCGCCGGCCTTGCTTGCACCCGTGGCTGGTGCTGGCCCCAATTGCTCTGTGCCATCAGCGGGTGTGAGCAGGGCCGGCGCTGTCAGCACTTGGGAGCAGCAGTGGTGGGAGCGGGGCTGCCAGCAGACAGGGGACCGGGGGCTGTGGCGGGAGGAGCCAAGCAGGGGCACAGAGGATGGGCTGAGACCCACCCCTCTGCCCACTGCAGCCTCGCTGACCACAGTTCCTTTCAAGGTGCACGAATTCGTGCACTGGGCCCCTAGTATTAAAATAAAATTAACAAATACTCTAAGCTCATTACTTCCTCATTACTACATTTTACCATTTGTGCTCTTTAGGTTGTTCACATTTGTTTTTGTTTAATGTTTTTATCGACTTTAGAGAGAGAGGAAGGGAGAAGGATAGAGATATAGAAACATCAATGAGAGAGAAACATCATGGATCGGCTGTCTCCTGTACATCCCCTACTAAGGATCAAACCCGAAACCTGGGCATGAGCCCTGACCTGAAATGGAACCAGTGACCTCTTGGCTCATGGGCCCATGCTCAACCACTGAGCAACCCTGGTTGGGCTGTTCACATGTGTTGTATCTGCATTGTGGAAATACTATATAACAAGATGCTGCTTGCTCATTCATATCTCCTCCCAGCTTTTCATCCAGTGACAGTCATTGGTAGTTGGAATCTGCCATAGTGGGAATATTTACTGCATGCAAACCAGCAAATGCCTGATAATTGTTTTGTTCATCTAGACTACAATCACTGAAAAAAGTTTATCATGCAGATTAGACTTAAAAGTGTCAACTCTATAGCCCTTACATTGTGAATAGCAGCAAAAATATGAGGAAATATTCTTCCAGTATTGGAAAATGAGTATCCAGTTCAGCAAAGAAGTCTTCATGCCATTGACAAACTAGCGAAATTTCAAGGTATCTCTTGATTGTCTCACTTTCCCCTTACTCATTAATATAAAAGAAAATATCAACCAACATTCATGTTGGAACTACACCCATCGGTCAACTGCAACCATAGGGAGGCTACACGATATTTAAAAAAAAAAAAAAAAAAAAAAAAAGACTCCTGTTGGAATCAATTGGCCATATGGAATTTACAATAAAGAGTATTGTGGCTCAGTCAGTGTGGCTCAGTTGGTTGAGCATCGTCCCATGGACCAAGAGGTTGCCAGTTCGATTCCCAGTCAGGGCTCATGCCTGGGTTGCAGGCTCAATCCCTAGTTAGGGGGCATGCAGGAAGCAGCCAATCGATGTTTCTAGCTCTCTCTCTTCCTTCCTCTCTCTCTAAAATCAATAAGAACATATTTTTAAAAGTGTTGTGTATTTTATTATTTGTGAGTTGTATGCGACACATCCTTTATATCAATGAAAGTTATACTAAAAATATAACATATATGTCCACAGGGCTGACTAGATAATTTTGGTACCCAGTGCGAAATAAAAATGTGGGGCCCCTTCTTAAAAATCATGAAGAATTTCAAGACAGAGCGTGATAACCTCACAGGTCACAGCAGCCACAAAGCCAGCCCTGTACAGACATACATGGTCCCTCCCTTACCAGCTAGCTCAGTGGTTCTTCAACCTTCTGGCCCTTTCAATACAGTTCCTCATGTGGTGACCCAACCATAAAATTATTTTTGTTGCTACTTCATAACTGTCATGCTGCTACTGTTATGAATCGTCATGTAAATATCTGCTATGCAGGATGGTCTTAGGCGACCCCTGTGAAAGGGTCGTTCGACCGCCAAAGGGGTCGCGACCCACAGGTTGAGAACCTCGGAAGCTGGTTGTTAATTTGCAACTTTAGCACCCAGCACATACCTGCAAACCCAAGTAACCTATACGTCCAATGGGACACTAGGAAGAAGCAGATATTTTTTAACTCCTCCCCTACCAATTCTATGACCCAGTCCTTCTATATGTCATTTTACTCATGGAAAAAGTATAAAGTGGGGACAATACAACCTGCCTTGTAGGAAGTGTTCAGAAAGAACAGTAACAGCATTTTTTGACTCTGCATGTGTCATGTAGTGTTTTAGGTACTTCACATGTAGTAGCATTTAACCCTTACAACAGTGCCTACCAAGGTAGTGTGGACACTAAGAAAAAAGATACCTACTAAGAAGGGCTCCTGGTGGCCAATTGGGCTCAAATTTCCTTAAACACACACACACACACACACACACACACACACACACACACACACAGCCTAACAGCCATTTCTAAACTGGGGCATCTTATGCAAACCGCACGTCAGGGAGAAGCCTGCATTCAGCTACCTGCCTCCAGCACTGAACTGCCTGCCTGCAATGTGCTCCTGTCACTTGAGCCAATCCTAGCTGTGCAGCTATATCCCCCGTCAACATCTTCACCGGTCAATCAGAACTGATTCATTCTGACCAATCAGGACAGTGCCTTTTGGCCCAATCAAACTTCGAGGATTTGGAATCTTCATTTGCATGAGGACAGACCAATCAGGGACCAGAGGCAGGGACTTCTGTCTATATAAGTTAGCGACCCTCTGGCTGTAGAAGCACACTTTCCACTGAAGACTGTGTTTCTCCGACTGCAGCTGAAACGCTACGGAGCTGTTCCACAGCCATGCTGTGTCACAGTCGGTCTGTTGCACTGAATAAAAGCTCCTTCCTCACCACATGCCTAATTGGGGATTCCTGTTGACTGAATTGGTGCCAACAACCATCCAACCCTTGGTTGTCAATGGGTACATTATAATCTTTCAGTTCTTCAATTAAGGGAATATGTATATAGACATTAAGTACTTGCTCATATAGCTGGTAAGTGCTAGTGCTAAGTTTCAGATTCAGTTAGTTTGACTCTACCCTGCTTTTAACCTCTATTCTGTAATGTCCACTGCCGGAAGCAGGTCCATCCTTGCTGCTTGACACAATCGCTGCAGGGAAGAAACATCTGCACAGCATATGTTTCAAGGCGTATATGGCATACTGTTCTTAATATGTTTGCTCCCCCTCTTAGCACTATGTGTTTTAACCAAGGTCACCTCTTTGAGAAAGGTTGTTTCCCCAGGTAGGGATTTTTCTCTGAAGTTAGGGAGAGAATAAAACCCCTTAACTAAGTGCCAGGGGGGTAGTTAATCACTTTAACTACGAACAATCACACTTAAGCTACATAATCTTTACTCCCTGGAATGGAGATAAGAAACACCCTAACCTTTGGAATAGAAATTGACAGGATTAAAATCAACTGGTATAAATACAGATGTAACAAGACAATAAAACACAGAACCTGGCGGGAGATCCTGGCTAGAACCTGGCTAGACTGCTGATCAACTGAAGGCTGTCTCCGTGTCATTCCTTCTTTGCTGACTCCGTCCACACCTTTGGGAACCCCTGGACCTGCTGGGGTTGGACCCCAACAGTCCACCAGCATGGTCCTTGTGGCTCAGTGGTTGAGCATGGACCCATAAACCAAGAGGCAATTGGTTAGATTCCTGGTCGGGGCACATGCCCAGGTTGCAGACTCGATCCCCAGTAGGGGGCATGCAGGAGGCAGCTGATTGATGATGTTTCTCTCACATCAATGTTTTTCTCTATCCCTAGCCCTTCCTCTCTCTCTAAAAACCAATTTTTAAAAAACATAATGGTCACCAAAATGCCTGATACTTTGTAAATACTCAAAAAATATTAGTTATTATTTTAACATAATGGATAAGAAAGCTCTTTGTAAATTTGGAAAAGAGGCCTAAAAATGCACTGGTTACTGTTACTATAAAGCCATCTTTGATAGTTAATTAGAAAACAGCCTTATCATGTCTTAGGGTGGCAAAAATCTCATATTGCTGATGGAAATGAAAATT